ATATGTACACACATTCCTATTTATTCTGGCTGATTACTTTCTACCAGTATATGTACACACATTCCTATTCATTCTGGCTGATTACTTTCTACCAGTATATGTACACACATTCCTATTTATTCTGGCTGATTACTTTCTACCAGTATATGTACACACATTCCTATTCATTCTGGCTGATTACTTTCTACCAGTACGTGTACACACATTCCTATTTATTCTGGCTGATTACTTTCTACCAGTATGTGTAAACATATTTATATGATATATCTGCATGTAAGTGCAGTATTAGTCAACTTGGGGCCTCAGGCAAGCATTCAGTATGACTGGTTATCACTTATCTGTGAATATGCTCCCGTTACATCGTTACGTAAACATGTTCACACTACATGGCTGAAACCAATCTGGTTATTTCTTATCTATATATACATGTGCACATGTTCACACTATATCACTACGTAGTCAAAATAAATCTATATCTGTGAACATATTCACTTATATATAACTACTGGGACAATATCAGCCTGCTTTCGTCAAAAACTATAGTAAAAACATCCCAGTATGGTCAGTTTTTATCGGATTATTTCTTTCTGATCTTTCAGGACATCATATGATGTTGAAAGTGATGTATGTGGAAATTCTAACACATGGCTGGCCATTACATAAGTCTGGAAGTAAGTACTTCAGGACCATTACATCTTGACAAGTTAACATTTTCCTTAAGTTAAGATGTATTTCTGATAGATATTCACCTCCTCACGCAATCAGCTACCTTTCTCAGCACATCTGCCAAAGAGATTTGCATGCTACTAGCCTTGAGGCAACTCTTATTGAATTTCAAGTAAATTGAGGCATTACATGATGATGTCATCATGTAAGAAAAGCCCCCACCTATAGAAGGTTAACACACTTCCGTGCTCACTAACTCCCCCTATGCATTCGCACTCATGAATCTTCATTCTTTGACCATTTATGTAAGAAAACGTGCACCAGAAGTGGGGAGGACAAGTTGGAATGTGTCAAGAGATGAGTATCTATCAGAAATACATTTTAACTTCAGAGATGATAATTCACATCTTCACACAGATTATCTAGAATCCCACATTAATAAGGTGGAGGGATAGGTGTGAAAATATACCTAGATGAGCACCCTTCAAAAACATCCAAAGGATGCCCATGGGGTGTGTCACCAGATGTCAGAGGCTCTATAGCAGCACACCTATAGGAGACCACATCTTGTCTCAAGCAGGTTAGACCTTTGCCTGTACAGGAAAAGGGAAGAGGCATAGAAGCCAAATTTGCGTTGTGTGGACAGGCAGAATTAGAAGATGACTGTCCGAATACTTGGACACAAGTTGTCGGACAGCTAATGTGTGTAGTGTGATTGGAGCATATTCAGAGGGTGCCTTGTGTGCTCCTCTCAATCTACCATCAGATTCTAACGGACAAACTCCAGCTGCAGAAGAAGGGCATGCTGTTATGTAATATGGATAATTGAGTATGCTCCAACTCTACCATCAGATGCTACACGACAAACTCCAGCTGCAGAAGAAGGGCATGCTGTTATGTTATATGGATAATTGAGTATGCTCCAACTCTACCATCAGATGCTACAGGACTAACACCAGCTGTGGATGTTAGAGATACATCACAGGTTTGTATAGAGTGCTAGCCTCAACTCTACTGTTAGATTTTATGGGACTTACACCAGCTGTTGGAGGAGGGCACATTAGTCAGGTAGTAAGTACTAGTATAGTGTGTGGACACCTCGACTCAACTGAACATAAATAGGTTGCAGGAGGAGGGCATGTGAAACAGATATATGTGTTGGTATTTTATGGTGAGTGGTCACAACAACTCAATTGAAAAGATACTATGGAATATTAATGGCTGAAGACGGCTTGAATGGGTAATGAAGAAAAACTTTAATATACGTTTAACATAACAGTATAACTTATATTAAAGTTTTTCTTCATTACCCATTCAAGCCGTCTCCAGCCATTATTAGTCTCAAAGTGGGTTCCTCGTCATCGAATTTGAATACTATGGAATATATTCTATTTGCAGTATTGATTCATATTTATCATGTACTCACATCAAGTCTACTGAACAAACACTGGTTGCAGGAGAAGGGCATAGTTGTTTAGTGTGTACTCACCTCAACTCTACTGAATAGAATATGGCTGCAGGAAGAGGGCATGTGTGGCTTTAATGGTGTATCTGATTTATATGATGGGTAACCCACACTACACTAATGGTGTCACCACCCCCACTTCTCACTGTATTGGTATTCCATGTTTTAGCTCCAGCAGTTGAGTTCCAATCTGTGAGGATTCTACAAACTCCACAACCCCAGAAGTTGGAAATTGATAAGTGGCAAGGATCTCCCATGCTTCACTCAACAGGGGGATGGGGAGAATTTATGTAGGGGAGACATGGAGAAGATATCCAGATTCCCATCAGTACTTCAATCTGGAAAGGTCTTTTACCAGAGACAGTGCAGTGGATAATTGATCACAAAGCCCTATTTTTAATAGCCAGCAAGTGTGAGCCAGAGAAGTGGGCAGAATGTTTCCCTGGTGCTGGCTTTTTCCATGTTAGTCCATGGAATAGATAGAGTCTGGATCAGGCAATAGAGTGAATGTATATATATACCATGAAGATACCTCAAGTGGTCTTGTGATACACCCCCATCTCACGGTGAACACAAGTAGAGCCAGGGTGGATGATACAAGCATCTTATGCTATCTCGACTCAATGCATATTTTGGGTACGTATACCCTTGGAGATAACACCAGCCACCTGGTGAGGTCCTATGTAATGAAAGAGGAGCTCTGAAAGACAAATAGTACATATTATTCTCAGAGGCAATGGGGTGGTAGAAGAATGGCAACTTTGGAAGCCAAAAACTGTGTGAAGATAAAACAGCCAGAAGGTGTACAGAAGGAAATGAACATGTGGAGAGAGTCCACATGCCTGCCAGAGCTTGTCTAAGGGCTGTCAAAGAAGAGATGTAAGATAATGAAAAAGGAAACAAATCAACTTTGAAGAAAAGGGAAACAGTCTGTGGACACTCGTATCCTGAGACAAACATGTCAACAAAGGAGTCAACAGATCCATCCCATAAAGGAAGAAGGAGAGTTCCATGGAATAAGAAGGGTCCCAGGATAGGGACATACAAATGCAGGGTAAGAGATGGAAGGAAGGGAGCTAGTAGAGAAATATGGTGTATTTCCCAAGTGGACTGAGGAGAATGAAAGTGCTGAACAGAATGGAGAGGACAGGGGAAGAAACGTCTCTTAATGCCACAAAAGAAGAAAGGCCATAGACAGGGCCACCCAATAAATAGGAAAGGCTGCGACCAAAAATCCATCAATGCACAGTGAGGTAAGAACAGGCAGAAAGGATTACTGCCAATGACAAATACAGTATAGTGGAAGAATAACAAGAATGTGATAAGAATAATGCCACACGAGTGGAAAGTCCAGCCCAATATGTGACAGGTTGGATAAATTTCATGTATGAGGGTGGAGAGAGGATATCCCTCTATGAAGAAAGGAAGAGTGAGAAGCAAAAGAGAGAGATGGGATAAAGGGAAGAGGAATAGGAAGGAGGTCCAAATAGCAAACAGATCAAGACTAAGATGATCAAAGGGGCACCAACAATAGGGCCCAAGAAGGAGAGTAGTATGTAAATCCAAGGACTAGAAGGTGGAGACGAATAAAGGAGTAGGTAAAAGAGAAAGAGGTAAGACCAGGCATGGCTAAGAAATCGACAGCCTAAGAATAAGGAATAGAGGACCATAAAAGAGGAAGCCTGGAGTTGAGAAGGGTAGCAAAATCATCCAAGATAGATGTGTTCAACAAAGGGTAAACCCCACAAAAGATCTGGGAATGTAGAGGCTATTTTGTTGATAAGATAAGGACTTTCCGAGAGATGTGGTCTGCTAACAAGATTAAAGCTCCTGGCAAAGGAAATGAATGGGCTTAAAAGTGTATGATTAATGCCCAAAAGAAAAAGGCCCTGGTACAGGAGCCACAAGGATGATTGTAGCAGGAAAAGAACATGAAATATGCTGAGTGGAACATAACCAAGTGAACTCTCAACAGGGAAAGTAATGGAAACATATTCAAATACCTTGATATGGAGTGAACTCTTGTTTAGCATACAAACATTGAAAAATCACGAAGTTGAACATAAAAAAAATCTACTAAAGAGCATTACAAAAACGTGTTAACATGAGTACTGCCAAACGAGAAGTGATAGTTAAGTAGAATCGAACAGAAGGAGTCACATACGTTAGTAGTGTGTGTTTCACTCTTATTGGTGGAGGGTTGGCACACAATTATTGAATTGCGAGACACATTTGAACCAGTTGATTGTAAGATACATGAGAGTTCAAGGCTTCTGGCATGCAAAAAAAATTTTTTCATATAGAGGGCAGCACTGAACGAGAATAGTTATTTATGTGAGAAGAGGTAATGTACCGTATCAGAACTTTTAATTGATGATGTGTGTATTTTTCAACACATCATGGATAACATATTTGGTGTGTGGGTAGACATCTCTTCAAATGGCCAAAAGTAAAATGTCTTTAGTTAAGCATATGGTATTGTCCACTTTGGAAATTGTACTTTAGTGATAAAGTGAGTGCCACAGTTGAGAATTCTACAACTTAGACATCCTTTGCATAAGTACATATTCTTCTTGTAAAATAGCTTATCACCCTAAGACATTACACAACTAAGACATATCCAAATTCCAACCTAATTTCTAAAATGTTACCAATATTTCAGTGAATGCCACACTGTACAAATGATTCATAAATTCTAAATTAATAGCATTATTTTTGATGCTACTTAAACAACTGTATTTCAAAGATTTTTTTTCAGCATAACAATGTAACCTAGATCGTAAGTAATATCTTTACGGGTTCCATGATACTTTCCCTTTAACAGAATTTAAACATTATTTCGTTCAAGCCTGCACTATAATCAGTTTTCAAAATAATGACAATAAGAAGAAAAATATCTTTAAATTAACGATTAGCGATTTCTATAACATCATCATTATATTATGAAAAGTAATGTTGACATCAAAACAACTCTTTGGAAAACATCAATCAACTCACCTTTTCCTATTGTCAATGTTCTATATGGCATTGGAACAGTAGGTCCCCTAAAAACCGGACATACCACAGCTCTGGCACTAATGTCCGATGACTCTGATAAAGCAACAGTATAACAGATGCACATTACTTTACATACTAAGATCATGAAAAGACGTAATGGGCTTGGAATTACAGTAAAAAATTTCAAGTAACATTTCTGAAAACTGGATGCTAAAGTTAGTTAAAAATAGAAGGGTTAGTGATATAAAAACATGTTTTCATTATTAAACTTCAGTGATATATGACAGTCTATAATTAAGGACTTGTATTGTAGTAATGCTACAGGAACTGTTACTAAGGCATTGTTATGTGGCAAGATTATTATTATTAAAGGATAATAATATAAAATCATGTTCATCATGAGGGTAAAGTAGTATCATATTTATTGTTTTCCCTCTCACAACAGGTCAAAGTGTGCATGTCATGACCTATTAAAAGAGTTACATTTAAAATTTAATTAAACTACTTTATTATCGACGTTTACAAACAAACTTTGCATCAAAATGTAGTTAATATATTATATTTCAATCTAAGTTTCAATTTATTAATGTTACAAGGAAATATTTTAAAAATCCTCACTCTCCCCTCATATGAGAATCGTGACATTTGTTATCTAGATTTTCCACCTTCTCTCTGAAGTATGGAATTTAATGTAAATTACTCATTATAATACAGATATTACTAAGGCAAAGTCTAATTTTTAGAGCCTTCAATCTTACTTGTTTATATAGTCTTAAACTGGAAAATCTCACCCACTTGCAACGCCCACCTGTCACATCCTCTCTTTCACAAATTACCAAAAATTCTCTCTGACATATAATACTATATTATAATCAATAGAAAGGCAAGGTATTAATCTATCCCATGACATATAATGCTACATTGTTTCCAGTACAGGATACTGTCTCTTCTGTCTTCACTTTGAAAGTTTATCAAGTGGTGTTCAGTTCAAGCAGCAAATGGAATTAATTTAATTTCCTTTTGTCCTAGTTAGAAAGTCAGTTAAATTATAATAGTTATAGGCCAATGTTTGCTTTTAGTAGGTGATTATTCTGTGTTCTTAGGTACATTACTTCAGTAAATAAAAATTATTTGGCATACTATTACCATCATTATAAAAAATATGGCTCAAATTTCATTGGTAATCAACAGCAGAAAAACATGAGGTCAAAGGTAAGTTATATATATCTTTTGTTTTTTCATGTTTATTCTTTATGAATGGTTACAAAAGTAACTAAAATGTAAAAATTAGAAAGATATTAGGCTAGATAAAGTTAGATTAGGTAAGATAATGAAATAATAATAATAAAAAGTATGCTTGTGATCAGCTTGTGTGTTACATCATTCAATACAGTAACATAAGCTATGCCTTAACCAAGCCATTTACATCTTGTGTGGTGGAATTATTAGTTAGACAAGGTTTAAAAGGGCAATAAAATAATATAATTAAGTATAAACAGATGTAGACTTTTCTAGTCTTAAGCTATTTAAGATAAACAAATGTACTTTCCTGTTACAATCTGCAGTCATTCTAGAAAGGAAAAAAGGGCAAGTTAGATATATTTTGTATTTTTTATGGTGGTTACGAGGTCAGTCAAATTGACCGAGCACACATAGAGTTAGGGTAAAGAAAATAAAAGATAAAATATAAAGTTTTACCGAAAACAAAAGAGTAGTCAACACCCTACCTCCATAAGTTCACAGACAAATCTTTAGTAAAAATACTTAATCAGAAAACCTGATTTTTAATGTACAAAAAAAGTGTTTCATGTTTATTGAAAGCCTACCAAATTTTATGAAGATACAAAATATATATTAAAAGTTATAGTACGGAAACTGATGATTACTTCGGTGTTACAAGTTGAACAATCATATCAACCAACACCTATGGAAAAAATTTAAAAACATGGTAATGTAGAATCATGTTTATTATTAAGATCCTGTGATATAGCATCTCTATTACCATGGTATGGTAATATAATAATGTATATAATATTAAAGTCCAGGTAAATAACTAATTTAAAGTTGTGGACAGACTAATCTAAAGAAATACTTTAGAAAAACTGTGTTTAGAAACCAGGAGATAGTCATTTCAGTGACAGTTGTTGCCTTCTTCAGAAACCACTGATAATTATGTTGATCATTTAACATTAACTTTTCCTCTCTTCTCTTACATTCCTACACTTACACTATTTTTCATAATTTATGTCCATCTTTCACACACTTCCTCAAATGTAATTACTATGCATCACAGAATATGTTCACAATTATATTTGGAACACCTTCACTATTATTGAAACTGTTTGAGAGTATTGTTAATGACTGTAACTAGCATACTTTGGAGAGATTTTGAGGTTAAATACACTGTCAAACCTCAACAACTACATACACTACAGTTCAGCATAAACACTATCAAACTTTAACAGTTACACCCACTACAATTCAACCCAGGCATTTCCAATCCTCAACATGCACAAGAGTTCAGTGAGTTTATATTTACCTGTTGTTGAGTGTGGACTTCCAGGTTTTTTTAATACCGAGGCCTGTGGTACCAGCTGCTGAAGTCTCTGCCATGCCAGTATTCTGACAAGTTGTTCGTCTAGTTTACTAAGATCCATGTCTGTAAAAAAAGCAACAAACTTAGCATTGATCACAGTCTTTTAAATAACTATCACCTGAAGGCAGAGTAAAAGCAGATTAAAGTTAGTATTTGGACCATATTTATCTTATTATTATGCTTCATCTTAATACAAAATCATAAAAGTAGTAACACATACATTTTTCATATTACTATATGCAAATGTCTGCTTAGATTCCCTGAAACCAAAATGGTATAAAGCTGCTTATTA